TGGCTGGCTGGCTGGCTGGCGGGCTGGCTGGCGAGCTGGCTGGCGGGCTGGCTGGCTGGCTGGCCGTCCGGCTGCCTGGCCGGCTGCCTGGCTGGTTAGCTGGCTGGGCCCTGGTTGACCTCTGGTTGACTTTTGGCTGGCTGGCTGGCTGTCCGGCTGGCGGCGGCGGCGACGACGACGACGACGACGACGACGACGCCGACGCCGACGACGACGACGACGACGACGACGACGACGACGACGACGACGACGACGACGACGACGACGACGACGACGACGACGACGACGACGGGACGGCGGCGGCGGGTTGGCTGGCTGCTGGGCAGGCTGGCTGGCTGGTGGATGGCTGGCCGGATGGAGGGAGGGCTGGCTGAAGCCGCTGGCTGGCTGGTCGGCTGGATGGCCGGCGGGCCTGGCTGGCGGTTGGCGAGCTGGGCCTGGTTGATTTTGGCGGGCAGGCCGGACTGTCCGTGCTGGCCGAATGGCGGCGGCGGCAGACGACGGCGACGACGTCGGCGACGACGGCGACGACGACGCCGACGACGACTACGACGACGACGACGACGACGACGGCGACGACGACGACGACGACGGACGGACGACGGCGACGGCGGCGGCGGGTTGGCTGGCTGGCTGGCTGGCTGGCTGGCTGGCTGGCTGGCTGGCTGGCTGGCTGGCTGGCTGGCTGGCTGGTCGGCTGGCTGGCCAGCGGGCTGGCTGGCTGGTTGGCTGGCTGGCTGGGAGGCTGGCAGGCAGGCTGGCTGGCCGTTTGGTCGGCTGGCTGGGTGGTTGGCTGGTTGGCTGGTTGGCTGGCTGGCTGGTTGGCTGGTTGGCTGGTTGGCAGCCAACCAGCCGCCAACCAGCCGCCAACCAGCCGAATGGCCGTGGTTGATTCGTGGTTGGTTCTGGTTGGAAATGCGGCCAAAACCCGTGTAAGTGGTGCTCAAAATACACATGTTTTGCCCGCATTCTGGTTGGGTCTCGGTTGGGTTTTGGTTGGGTTTGGGATGAAGTTGCTTTTACACGTTGTAAAGCCTCCCCCTCATCGGAGCTCTAGTGGGAGCATTCGAGTATTCCAGCATCTTCCGGTCCCAGTTGAAATCGTAGTTTGGTTCAAGGCCGTTACAGAGCTATTGTATGGCGGTGGGATGGGCATGCACTATCAGCCTCATTGTGTGTTCACTCGCCCTTGCGATTAGCTTTTTGAGAACTGCCATTTCGGATGCCCACGCCCTTCTTTCATCGTATCCACAGCCGCTGACTTACGAAGAGTTAACAGCTCCCTTGGCAGATGCAGCCCGGCATTCTGTTGTTGTCCGGGATGCGTCTACGCAGAAGGAGCGCACGGTCAGCGTGTTGGCATCGCCAGCAGGGCAATCTGGTCGAACACTAGTGTTAGTACACGCGTTTAAGATGAGTGCCTTGACGTGGTCCCCGGTGTGGAACGAACTTCGCAATCGTGGCCACCAGGTTCTTGCTCTTGACTTGGCAGGCCACGGACAAAGCAACTTGTCGAAGGAGGCGCTTGAGCTGGTTTCTTTATCTTCTGATATTCGACACGTGCTGGACCATTTTGACGTGCGCAATGGTGGTATAGTGGGGCACTCACTTGGAGGCTTCTTGGCCATGATGTATTTGGTTGAGCACGCTTCGCATGCATTGCAACGGGTACCACTCGGATTCGCATGTCTAGCGTGCACGGGTGGACATTTTGGGCACTTCATCGGTGGAGCAGGTGGGAATTGGCACGGAAATCTTTTGATGACCACGGGGATCGAAGACGCCCACGGCGAATCACCGCGGCCCCCTGCCTTTTTGGAAGCGCCTCTGTGGGCGACAGCTGGGCCAGAGCTTGGCCAAACTATCGGGCCAGTTGTTCCCCGAGTCGGTTTGGAACGACTTCGGGGAACGCGTGGTGCAGCAAGAAGAGGAGGAGGAGGAGGAGGAGGAGGAGGAGGAGGAGGAGGAGGAGGAGGAGGAGGAGGGGGAGGATGAGGAGGAAGGAAGAGGAGAGGAGGAGGAGGAGGAGGAGGAGGAGGAGGAGGAGGAGGAGGCCTCTTGGGCGCCTCTTGGGGCACTCTTGGGGCCTCCTGGGAGCTTCCTGGGGGCCTCTTGGAGGGTTTGGGGGGGCCTTTTGGGGCTTCTTGGGGGCCTCTTTTGCCGTCTTAGGGCGTTCCTGGCTTGTCTGACGCTGTCGGAAGCCGTCTTGGGGGCCTGTCTGGGTCGTCTTGGGGCCCTCTTTGGGCATATCAGGGGTTCTTAGAGGCCATCTTGGGCCCATCTCAGGCCGTCTTGGGTGCATCTTGGGCCGTCTTGGAGGCATCTTGGGGCCATCTTTGCCGTCTTGGAGGCCATCTTGGGCGTATTGGAGGTCATCTTGGGCCGTCTTGGAGCCGTCTGGACAGGACAAATCCTTTCCAGCCCGGTCTGGGCAATCTTTCGGGGACCCCGGCGGGACGGGCCGAAGCCCCATGGAGGGGTTCTTTTGGAAAAAGAACCAAAACCAAAACCGAAATCGTCTAGCACGCCAGGCACCCCTGCGATGAATCAACAGGGGGCGGCGGATCTATTCGCTTTCGGCCCATCCCGCCACCGTGCCTGGGTCGTGGACCAGAGAGCCTGTGCGGTGGTTATTCTTGGGTTTGGGGCGGAGACTTCTCCGGGGCCTCTTGGAGGACTTCTTGGGGGGCCTTTTGAGCGCCTGAGGTTTCGGGGCCTCTGGGCGCTCTCGGGGGCCATCCTGGCACAAGAGAGAGCCCATGGGGCTGTCTGCTTCGCCCCGCCCCAGGCCGAAGACATGGAGAGGCGCACGGTGTTTCGTTGTACTACTTCGGGGGATCTCGCCAGGAAGCACCACGCTTTACACGCGGGACGTCAGAGGCGACGATAGGGGCGAATAGCCCAGGGGAGAGCAACACATGTGTTCAGGTGCGCCGATGATCTATGTCTTCGAAACGGCTCCCGCGCGAAGACGTGTAATGCCCTCCCCTGGGCTGTTCGCTCCTATCGTCGCTGCCGCGGGACGCCTCAAGAGACCCGTGAGCGGCTCTGGGCACGTCAAGGAGCACCGGCCAGAGTCAATACACAGAACTGGGGAGGCGTGGGGGACCTTCGGGTCCGTGCCTCACGGCACGGTGGCGGGTCTTCGACCTCCTCATGCAGTCCGACTCCGTAGCTCCGCTGCTCATGGCTAAGAAGTTTGGCAAGCCGAGCTTGCCTGCAGTAAGAGTTGTTGTCGAGGCGAGTCGTGTTGGTGCAAGCCGGGCGTCGTTGAAGCCTATGAGCGACTTCTTGTGGGACTACAATTTGCACCCACGTCTGCCAAGCATCGGGGTGCCAAGTGTCATCATCGTGGGCTCTGCAGACGATCACCACCCGCACCCTGCAATGAGCGAAGCCCTTCGCAACGATTTGTCTGCCACTGGCTTACTACGCGCGTATATCGTGCTGGACGGAGTGGGACACTTCATTCCCCTCATACAACCACTTGAAACTGTTGACGGTATTGAGCAGCTATGGTCACGCTAAGATAGCACGGCTTGTGGGCAGTTGCGCACTTGTCTTGGAGCTCGTGCATGGTAAGGAAAGTCACCAGGACGGCGCCAAACATTCACTCATCATTTCTCACTTGGGTTTTCTCTTGGGCCCTCATCGCTCGCGTTTGAAACCGCATTCTCTCTTCATTCTCGCTGCTCAGTGCTTCCACCAATCTCATCCTAGCTCTCATCTTACCCCCCCCCTTCCTTGGGGAGGTGATGGTGGAGCGGTGGAAGTGGTACCCCGAACCCGTGGGGATGCAGAGGGCGGTGCCTCCCCACTGGCACCTCGTGGCAAACGAAACCAACAAACAAACTCCCACTGCCACCCTCCCCAGTTGATATGGAAAAGGCCTTTCCTTGTCAACGTAGTATAGTTCGTTGCTCTTCCTGTTCCTTCCGAGCGTATCTGAGTTTGCAGCTTATCGAGCGAGGCTGTAAAGCACAGGTCCATCAAAGAGGCAGCGAGACCGGTTATTGAATCGCTTCGCTTATTCCACCGGCCCTGGAGCGCTCTTTGGGGCCTCTTGGGCGCCTCTTGGGGCTCCTTGGCGGCGTCTTGGCGGCCCCTGGGGCCTCTTGGGGGGCTCTTGGAGGCCTCTTGGGGCTGGAGGAGGAGGTAGTCGATTGCGGCTCCCCCCTCGGAGGCCACGATCTTCGTGAAGGGTGTCGAAAAATGGCCCTCCCCTGGGGCGTGCTGGGGGGATCGCCCGGGAGTGGACCCGGACCTGGCGGGGGTACTTTTCGTCCGGGGGCCCCCAGGGGCCGCCCTGCGCGCGCCCCAGGGGGCGGCCGCCGCGCGCGCGGCGCATTTCCGCGCAGCCCTCGGCAGAACTGTCGTTCTGTGTGTGTGTGTATGTGTGTGTGTGTGTGTGTGTGTGTGTGTGCGTGTGCGTGTGCGTGTGCGTGTGCGTGTGCGTGTGCGTGTGCGTGTGCGTGTGCGTGCGTGCGTGCGTGCGTGTGTTGTGTGTGTGTGTGCGCGTGTGTGTGTGTGTGTGTGTGTGTGTGCGTGTGTGCGTGCGTGTGTGTGTGTGTGTGTGTGTGTGTGTGTGTGTGTGTGTGAGTGTGTGTGTGTGTGAAGTCGTCGTGCACATGATCTGCAACTCTTCGCTTCCTGCAGGCCGCCCCCTCGTGACTGCCTGCGTGCCTGGGTTGTCTGGGTTGGTTGCTTGGTTGGCTGGCTGCTCGGCAGGGTGGCAACGCAGCTGGTTGGCTGGGCGTTTGGCTGCCTGGCTGGCAGGCAGTTGGTCGGTTGGCTAGCTGGCTGGCTGGCAGATTTGCTGTCTTGATGGCGGGGCACAGCATACGGACCCATGTTTCTCACGTGGATTGTGGCCTCGAGCGGCGATCCACTTCTAGTACGAGGGTAAGTTTGAGGGTGCTTTGGAGGAGAATTTGCTTTTCTATCAACAAATTCTTGGGTCGAGCTATATCGCTCGTGAAGAAAGCAAGTCTCTACACCCCAAAGCCATGGCAGAAAGTGTGAAGCCATAGTTTGAACAAGCTTGTGCTGAGAGGTCACCATCGGGGCCCCGAGGGCCCGGATGCAGAAGCGCATCCGCATGTTTGTTGTTGTAGCCGTGGCCTCGGGAGGCTTGGCCCCTCGTGCCCCTGCAACGGATCGCGCTCTCGGGAGAGCGGGGCCCAGAAGCTTGATCCCACGAGGAGTCATGGCCTAATTACAGTCGACACTGATAGTACGGAGGATTCCTCCTCCTCCTCCTCCTCTTCCTCCTCTTCCTCCTCCCACTCCGTTTGCCCCTCCCCTCCTCCTTTCCTCCTTTCCTCCTTTCCTCCTCCTCCTCCTCCTCCTCCTACTCCTCCCTTGCATTCTTGCCTCCTCGGCCATCTTCGGTCCACCCTCGACCGCCTTCGGTGGCCTGCCCCGCTCGAAAGCCTCCGGCAGGGACGCGCCAGGCCCCTGCATCCTTGTCGCGCAGTCGTGCTGTCAGTTTGGGCTGCACGGCGTCGGGGATCGTGGCGTCGGCGGCGCCGACCCCTTCTCTTCAGCGAGGGATCGTGTGGCCTCTGTCGCGCGGGGCGCTCACGTCCTCTCGTGCGGTCCCGTGGCTGCGGGAGCACGCCTCTGCCGCTGCGTGCGAGAGGTCGTGCACTTCGGGGGCGCAGGCCCGCAGTCTTCGTGCGGAGCGTCGTGCTCTTCGGTATTTGTCGCTGCAGCGTCCGTGGCCTCGGGAGGGTGGGGGCACTGTTCAGGGTCCATTTCGATCGGATCGATGCGGTTCGACACGACTCTGGCCGGCTGAGTGTGATTCGAAACCGATCAGCTGCGGCCCGATGCTCGCATGGCGTCGTCATTCGCAGCCGATCCGATTCGATACCGGATCCGTCCCTGCGCAGTCCCGATTCGACGCGTACCCCGATCCCGTCCGATTTCTTGCTTCGATGTTGATTGCTGCTGCCGCTTCCAAAGGTTCGCGGCTTCAGAAGCGTGGGTGAGTTGTTTTTCACCACCCACCAAACCACCCCAACCCAACCCGAATGCTTCAATTTGCCCTCCATTTCAAGTGGAGGGGGTGGTCGGGGAACATTGAAAAAAAAACACAGATGGAACCCTTACCCCCCCCCCCCAAACCCGAAATTCGGGTCTTCGGCTTGGGTTTGGCGTGGTCTGGTAAGTAGTCTGTTTTTGTTCCAGATAGACTGCGGTCTCGGGAGCGCTGGTCACGAACAGTCTTAACATGTTTGTCGCTGTTGTTGATGATGATATCGTTGCTGTTGTTAGTCGAAGGGGGTAGTCCTACCTCGTGGATGGATTTGGGTATAGATCTCTTTGCCCTGGTCAGGAGACCATGGCGCCTGGATGGGCGGCATGCTCCAGCAGCAGCGGGGCCAGTGGCAGAACGAGGGCTTTCAGCAGGAGACGCCGCCGCCGCGCTCGCGGTTCCAGGCCTGGCCCCCTGCTGGCGCGGAGCGCGCGCCAGGATCGGCGGTCCACGCTGCCGAAGACATCCGCGCGGATTTCCGAGAGGTTAATCGTATGCAGTTCGTTGTTCCTCTGGCGGCGAGGAGTGGCACACCTGAACATAGAAGCCACTGATCGGGGCACAGGAAGCCCAGCGGGACACCAGAAGCGTCACTTGGACATAGGCTAGTTGTTGCCCCGGGAGGAGGGAGAGGATGAAGAGGCGAGGAGGAGGAGGAGGAGGAGGAGGAGGAGGAGGAGGAGGAGCAGGCGGAGGAGGGGGAGGAGGAGGAGGAGGAGGGGGAGGAGGAGGGGAGGAGGAGGAGGAGGGGGAGTGGGGAGGAGAGGAGAGAGATGTGCAGTGCGACGGAGACAAAGACGGAGGAGCCGCAGTAGAGCCAGTACAGCTCGCACGATGGTGATGAGCTGCCCTGGCGCTGGAGGGGTACACCCCCGGTTTTGGTGCTTGGGCCCCCCGCCGTGGCACGCTCTGCGTTCTCTGGGCACCTCCGTGCGGCCTTGGGCCCTCGGAGGAGGGGCCCGTGCTCTTGGCCCGCGCTCCTGGGCCTGTCTCCCACCACCACCACCAGCTCTGGAGGCGGGGAAGGAGGATGAGGAGGAGGAGGAGGACGAAGAAGGAGGACGAAGAAAGAGGAGGAGGAGGAGGAGGAGGAGGAGGAGGAGGTGGAGGAGGAGGAGGAGGAGGAGGAGGAGGAGGAGGAGGAGGAGGAGGAGGAGGGAGGGGGGGGAGGAGGAGGAGGAGGAGGAGGAGGAGGCGGAGGACGAAGAGGAGGAGGAGGAGGGAGGGGACGAAGAAGAAGATGAGGAGGAGGAGGATAGTAGGAGGAGGACGAAGAAGAGGGGGGAGGAGGAGGAGGAGGAGGAGGAGGAGGAGGAGGAGGAGGAGGAGGAGGAGGAGGAGGACCCCCTCCCCCTCCTGCTTGTGGTGGTGGTGGTGGTGGTGGTGGTGGTGGAAGACAAGCCCGCAACGCGTTCCTGTGGCCATATGCCTCGACCGGGCCAGCTGGATGCGGACGGGGAGCTGGAGGATGTGGGCACCTGTTCGGCTGAAGGGGGCCCGGGGCGCGCCGGCTGGCCGCTGCGACCCCCACCCCGCAGCTCCTCCTAAAGACCGCTCGTCCTTGGGAGCAGCTTCCATATCCTTGTCGTGCGGGCGTGGCGCTCTCGGGCTCCCCTCCCTCCCCTCCCCCTCCCCCCTCCTCCCGCCGCCCCGACCTCTTGCAGATCTGCCGGCGCGTGGTTGCTTCCGCCAACGGCCCCGCTTCAGAATCGTAAATGGTGAGGAAGTCTCAAGCGAAACGCCCGGCCCGCCCTGAAAACTGGCCTCGCGGTGCGACAGGGAGCTGTTCTCTATGAGGAGAAGGAGGAGGAGGAGGAGGAGGAGGAGGAGGAGGAGGAGGAGGAGGAGGAGGGTCCCGACTCCTCCCCCACGGAGGGCCAGCTTTTGTCGCCCCTTCGGCCCCGGATCTCCCGGGGCCCGATCACGCGCCCCCGGGCCACGGGCTTCCTGACCGGCCCCTGGCAAACCACCCCTCCCGGGGCGTCCCCCTCGCCTCGCCCCAGGACGTGTGCATGCGGCCGCAGGGAAGCTTGGAAGGCGAGGGCGACGTCACGGAAGGGTACGGTCTGCGAGGGGTCGGTGAGGCCGCGCCCGACCGGAGGACGCAGTCGATGAAGGACGCCCGGATTGAAAGAAACCAGATCGTCGGTGGCCTGGGCCTTTGCGAGGACAGTGCCGGGCTGGAGGAAGTGCCGCACCTGGACTCTCTGGCATCGTCATGCGTTCTCTGGCATGGCCTTCTCGCTCCTGCAGCCAAGGCGCTGGAATAGGTAGGCACTGGGCTCGAGAGGAGCTCCCGTTTTCGGGCCGTTCCTCACCCGGAACGGGCGGTGGAGTCCTCGGGAGAGGATCATGGGGAGGAGGATGAGGAGGAGGGAGGAGGCGGAGGGAGACGAGCTAGGTGCGGTCGCGTCATATCTGACGGCCTACCCCTTCCTCCCATCCCTTACCATGGCATAGATGTCCTCTCGATTCGCGCACTCGGATGTCGTAGCATGGCATAGCATCACATGGCATAGCATGGTGTTGAAGATCAACGCGTAGCATGACAGAGCATGGCGTGGTGACGCCCCCAAATGGCGAGGGGCTTCTGCGGCCAGAAAAAATCATCGAATCCACACCGAATGTGGAATCACTTCAAGTGTGTTTTTTTTTTTGGGGGGGGGGGGAGCATTTTTTGATTTTGGGGCTTACGTGGAAGAACCGAAGATCATGCCGTAGCATGGCACTGGAAATAATGACGCCAGCGCCGCAGCGGGAGCACGATTCGGAACGAGCGGAAGCGCGGGAATGAGGCCAGCGCTGCAGCGGGAGCACGACTCGCAGCGAGCGGAAGCGCGGAAATGAGGCCAGTGCTTCAGTGGGAGTAACATGTTGGAACAAATCCGAGCGAAAACCCACTTGGCGGGAATCCTGTGTGTAAAAAAGCGTACGCTCGGCACGAACGAAATGAGTACGGAAATAATGGGTACAATGCCCAACAGCAGTTCCTGTTCATCTTGAACAGGTCTCGCTGTCGGTGTCGCCGCGACCTGTGTCCATTTGAAACAGAAGGCCGCCTGCCCAACAGTGGCCGCTCTTGGTTTGGGACAACTTTTGTCGTTGGGCATTGTACCCATTCTTTCCGTGCCCATTCCGGGCGTCCGAATACGCGTGGGGGGGCCGGATATCTTCTGGACGTCATGAGGGAAGAGAGGCGAGCAGACTTCATATTGTGTCATTGTGGCGGAGGAGGAGGAGGAGGAGGAGGAGGAAGAGGAGGAGGAGAAGGAGGAGAAGGAAGAAGGAGGAGGAACGGGGGTGGGGAAGTGGGGAGGGGGGAGGAGGAGGAGGAGGCGGAGGAGGAGGAGGAGGAGGTAGGAGGAGGAGGAGGAGGTTGGAGGAGGAGGAGGAGGAGGAGGAGGAGGAGGAGAGGAGGAGGAGGAGGAGGAGGAGGAGGAGGGGGAGGTGGACGGAGGAGGAGGAGGAGTGAGGAGGAGGAGGAGGGGGAGGTGGAGGAGGCAGGAGAGGAGGTGGAGGATGGAGGAGGAGGAGGAGTGGAGGGGAGTGAAGGAGGAGGAGGAGGTAGGAGGGAGGAGGAGGAGGAGGAGAGGAGGAGGAGGAGTGGAGGTGGTGGTGGAGGGGAGGAGGAGGCAGGAGGAGGAGGTGGAGGGAGGAGAGAGGAGGAGGAGGAGTGAGAGGGGAGGAGGAGGAGGTGGTAGGAGGAGGGAGGAGGTGGCAGGAGGAGGAGGAGGAGGAGGTGGAGGTGAGGGAGGAGGTGAAGATGGAGGAGAAGGAGAGGGAGGCGGAGGAGTAGTGGGAGGAGGAGGAGGAGGAAGGTAGGAGTGAGGTGGTGATGGGTGACTCTCTGCTGTAGGTCTGGGGGCCCCGCCTCGTGGCCGCGAGCTCGCGGTGTGCTAGGGGTACGCCCCTTCGTCCTTATCTGGCGTTCTTATGGTAGCAGCCGCCTCGGATTAGTTGGTGCTTTTTTTTTGGTTGTTTTTGTTTATATTTTATGTTGGCTGTAGTCCCCTCCTCCTCCTCTCTTCCTCCTTTTGACGTTGCTCGGACTCTTGATTGCCAAAGCACGCAGCGTTTTTTTCTTTCTCTCCTCCTCCTCCTCCGCCTCCTCCGCCCTCCCCTCCTCCGCCTCCGCCCGATCTCGACCGTTTCAGGAAGAACGCCGCGGGCCTCGTATTGGTTTGGCACCCGTCCTTCGCCGTTCTGCGCCCCAGAGGCTTCCCTCCTGCCTCTCGGGCGGTGCGGGGCCGCGTGGGCGCCCATCACAGACAAACCGTTCCCTCTAGTGGACGTTTGCTCCTCCTCCTCCCTCCTCTCCTCTCCTCCTCCTCCTCTCCTCCTCACTCCCTCTCCTTCCTCTCCTCCTCCTCCCCCTTCTCCTCCTCCTCCTTCCTCCTACCTCATCCTCCTCCTCCTCCTCTCCTCCCTACCCTCCTCCTCCCTCCTCCTCTCCTCCCCTCCCTCTCCCTCTCCTCCCTCTCCCTCTCCTCCCTCTCCTCCTCCTCCCGCTCCTCCTCCTCCCCTCTCCTCCTCCTCCTCCTCCTCCTCCTCCTCCTCCTCCTCCTCCTCCTCCTCCTCCTCCTCCTCCTCCTCCTCCTTCCCATCCTTCGCCACCGCGCGGGCGCGGCTGCGCTGGGCAGGCTGGCGTGGAGGCCCGACCATCGCCGCCGCTCTCCGCCCCCCCTCGGGGAGGCCACCGCTGCTGCTGCAGCGACTGGGCAGGGCGTGGTCGTCTCGACGTCGTGGTTCGTCCTCGTGGCCGCTCGCTCCCCTTCCCCGCCCGCTCTCCCCCGTGAGGACGAGACCGGCTTGGAGGACGTGCCCCACCTGGAAGTTGACATGACCTACTCCGAGCTGCTGGCGCTGAGCACGCCGCCCCTGCCCAACCTGCCCCGCGCGACGCCGCCGCCGCAGGTACTGCGCGCGATGCACGCCGGCTCGCTGCAGCAGTCGCAGTGCGAGGCGCGGATGGGAGGGGCCAGTCGAAGGAGGAAAAGGCATCGATGCCGC